TCTATTATAAGACTCTTTTATGTCAACAATGAGAATTAAATGTCTTCTCTACATGATATTAGAGCTGGAGTATCACAAGGCAGTGTACTCGGTCCAACCCTTTATCTGCTTTTCACATACGATTTACCGAAGACGGTAGGAATTGTAACCGGTACATTTGCAGATGATACAGCTATCCTGGCGAGTGCAAACGATCTCTCTCTGTAGCCTCTTTCAAACTACAAGCTGGTCTTGATTGTATATCAAAATGGTTGCAGTATTGGCGCATGAAAGCAAATGAAACAAAATTTACTCATGTTACATTCACAATGAGAAAAGACACCTGCCCGGAAATTAAACTTAATAATATAATAATTCCGCAATCAAACAGCGCTAAATACCTGGGCATGCACTTAGATAGACGTCTGACATGGAAAACACAAATTTTTAACAAAAGGAAATCCCTTGGGATTCAATACAGAAAAATGTTTTGGCTAATGAATAAAAAATCTTCAGTATCTCTTAAGAATAAACTTGTTTTATATAAAAGTGTGCTAAAACCAGTATGGGCCTATAGAAATTCTTCAAAGATTTCAGTCTAAAACTTTACGAGAAATAGTGAATACTCCATGGTATGTAACTAACATTCAAATCCATCGGGACCTTAGGATAATCCCGGTAAGAGATGAAGTAAAAAAGGTAGCTAGAAAATACCATGAACGAATACAAATTCATCCTAACATCCTTGCTTCGAATTTGATGTCCCCCTCAAATATATTTACGAGACTGAAAAGGAAAACGGCGCTTCAAATTTTATTATAATATTCAAATTTTATTATAAAAATCTTAAATTAAAAACAAAAGAGGAGCTCTCTACAGGGAGAACTACTTTAATTGTAAATGATCAAGATTTAAATAGTATTTATTAAAAAATTGTGAAATGTCACCATACTATGTGACAGAATACATATTGAATTAAAATTAAATAAAAAAAAAAAATTTCGGAGTTAGTCTTTTTTGTGTTTTGTGTTATTGTATATTTTAGTTTCTCAAATAGTTAAGTGTATAATTTTTACAGTATTATATGTCATAATGACAGTTAGCGCTTTGACTTAGTGCAAAACTGTGGGACAATTTTATAATATGGCAACCACTGAATGTTTTCTTCTTTTGAAAAACGAGTGAAAGAAAAAATTCTTATGAAGTTCAGGGATATACTAAACACATTTTGGTTCATAACATTTTTGGATTGTATTTCATATTTTCCTTCACCTAATTCATTTCTTTTATGTTGCATTTTAAAGAATTTTTTATTTTGTTAAATCGCTGCTGTGGAAGCTGCAAATTATGTTGTTTATTTTCCGCAACATCTTTTTTCATGTTGCAATTTTAAATTGTGTTGCATCGCAATCAGCTCGTAACTTATTAGTTTGTTCATCTGTAACCTCAATTTTTTTCTACAACTAAAACTAAACAATTTTATTCATATATTAAAAATTAAATAAATACAAAAATATAATTTAATAGCAATTTTTTTAAGATTTTACTAATAAGATAAAATTGTTATTTTTTACTTTGTAATGTTGCATTTGATCGTAATAAATTATTGTACATTTATGTGCATATATATATGTATATATAATATATCTTAAAAAAATTATAATTAACATTGCAGCTTAATTTCTTTTCAACGGTATTTTCTACATTTTATCTACATCAACTGAAATTTCATAAAATTTTTTTGCTGGGTAAGCCGCAGCGAAATGTTGCATTTTAAAGTCTGTTGCTTGCCTTAATTATTGTTCAGTTTTAGTTGTAAACTCAAGGTTTTCTTTGAGCACAACAAATTTAGATTCTTTTTATATATTAAACATATAATTAAAACCTATTTGAAAGATTTATTAAAATTTATTATTAGAAAAAGTAATTCTTGTGAATTTTGATAACACTTTCGGTGCTGCTCTATTAAAGATTTTAGCAACTGTTATGCATACTGTTTATAGGTATTAGATGCGTTTCAATTGAAAATATATATGAAAGTACATAAGTAGTTCAAATGAAGCATAGATTTCACATTTCTCTTAAAGATTCAATTCTACTGGCCATTCCTAACATTTCAATAACAATCTAAATATGTACATTAATTTAAATACTGCTCGACACTGTACAAATAAACTAGTAACCCACACTAGATGTGATAGATGTACTAGATGAAGCAATTTATCTGTTAAAAACTAAATTTATTATTGGAGTTAACTCTAAAGCATAACTTATCTAAAAATGTGCTATGTATACAGTGGATATGAAATCTTTTGTACAAGCGCAACTCATTAAAAAAAAAACAAAAATTAACAATTTCAAGACAGGGTAAATCTGCGTGACATAGCTCAATTTCTAATGAAATTACGTGACCAAAATCGCAATAATAACAAAATTAACTAAGTAGAAACTCACTTTCTTTGAGGAGAAGTTTAAAAGTGTCACAAATTACGGCAACAGGTAACAAATACCAAAAATAAAGTACTTCATTGCCTATAGAACTTAATAGGCCTATTATTCGAATACGAAAAATCCAATACTCACATTGGCACCTATGACGAACTTGCAGCGCGCGAAAAAAAATCATATAGGACATGCAGTGCGCGTTAGAATAAATGCACCCGGAAATGCACAATTGTGCAGCTCGACAATTACTTCGTTTGTCGAAGAAAGCATTGGTTCAATAGTTACGTTGCGCCTAACTTATGAACTTAAGGCAAAAGTTTAAATGAAAGGTCGTTTAAGAGTTTTTATTTTCTTGTAGTTTTTGTTGCAGTAAATTTGCAGTAAATTTGGCACATTTCCATCCAAATGCAATTGCACTTACAGTTGGCGGCACTGCAAAGCGTCAAGTGTCGACGCAGCTATTGGTTTGTTTCGTTCTAAACATGTGAAATGTTCGGCTATTGAATATTGCTAACATCAAAGCACGGTTAGTGGCCACATTTTGTTGCAATATTGCAATGCAATAATAATTCAGAAATTGTGTGCCAAAAAGCAGTTACTATCCCAGGGCATTGTTGACTGACGTTCACTACCCTTTATCAAAGCACGCCAAATACCCGAAGAAATAAAAACAAACAGAGTGCTTTACTTTAAAGTGCATTTCACTTTAGAACCATTCAACCCTTGTACATGTGTACAATATTTGTGTAATAGACATTACTAAAAACAATTGGAGGTAGTAGAAAAACAGGTGCACTTTTAGTAGTTGGACTGCAACAAATGCAATTTGGATTTTGTTGCATGGCTAACTATATAATTCATATGAATTTTAAGTATCAGGCATTGACATTGAAATGAGATTGACAGCAACAACACAAGTTGCAATAACAACAAAACACTTCCTTGTATAAACTAGATTAAGTCATATATGACCTACACATTTTGAAATAAGATTTGCGGACTTGCTCAATTGACTCTCATCTCCAGCCAAAATCACAAGTAGATTTAAAAACTTCATAGCTACCTTGAGAGTGAGGAGTTTTTGGATATCCAAACATGTACCAGTTTCAGGGTCAATACACTCGATATAATTATAGTTTGAGATAGGACTCAACTTACACTATAAAAACATTTGTACTAATTTCAAGAAACATTTTGGTCATATCAATAATAATCTAATATAAGACTCACACTAACACATGAAATTAGCTTATGCCGGGCTAAAATCAAACAAATTAATAATAACAAATATGACATTAAGTAAAGTGCAGAGACTGATGTGTGCGCCATCATAGATGAAGTGATCCAATAGTTCTTACAAAAGCACTTCTACAAGTGACTCTTCTATACATACTCACGAAGTATGTTCTCTTACTGCAGAATTTTACAATATCCTCTCCTTTAAACTTCTGGGATGCTGCACAAAATTTAAAAACCCCTTTGCCTTACATTTTCGGAATATCCTACGCGAAGTCAATTTCCTATCCTGCGTCTACAGTACGGTTTTTTGAAAAAGAATTGAACGGAAAATATAGAAAACTAAAATGAGCATCTTATTAAAACTAAATACCAGTAAACATTTTTTATATTGTGTAAAATGTCTGTGAGAAATTCGGAAACAAAAAAAAGGAACTTTACATATATGGAACTTTAAAAACTTAACATCGTTGACAGACTACACAACTAAATAATCTTACATAGTTGTCCTATCTTTTTTTTTTTAGCAAAACCACATGGATCAAAACTTGAAGTTTAGCTAATAGACTTGGACTTTTTACACATATGGACGTGGAATAGAATGTTCCAGAAGGCCCTAATTATTAAACATATTCTGTAGCTACTTAACTACAGAATTTCTTCTAGATAATGTTTCCAAACAGTTACTGAGTTAACATATTCCAAAAACCAATGGACCACCTTTTTTGTCATCCCGCTTAAAAATTAATAGATACATTTATGCCGCACCAAACAGATGTGTGAATAATGTATAATCAAATTTTTTTTTCTTTTTCAATTAATAACCATATTAATCAATTTTGAATTAGGTGTTTTATTTCAAAAATATAATAGTATCAACCGTCGAAATAAGTGATGGTTTTGGAATTTCATCTCCTTTTAGATTGCCTATCCTTTCTAATATTTCACGGAACTTATGAGATATGAGAATAATTTACATTTAATTTATTTTATTACTATTCTCAAAGTGGTGATGTTTAAAGTTTTGCCTAAAACTTTTTCTAATTACAATTATATTCTAAGTAGACCGTCAATAATTAGACGGATTTCAAAGGTGATTAATGACCTCATGTAACTACAAGTTTCCCGTGTGATTCCTGATACACATTTCTCTACTGTCATTCATTAGTAATTTAATTAAGAATTCGTTATTATTAATTTTATTTACTCTGAACGAAACAGGATAGACATTTGAGGTGATTATTGAAACATTATGTTTGAATGATTGTTCAATTTAGGTGTTTTATAATTCAATATGTACGTTCATATCCATAACTCTATAAGGGCTACATTGCACTTACCTGGAGGAACATATCACCGTCAAGTAACCCATGTTCGAAAGCGCCTAGCTCTCGAGTTCGATAGCCGTCATGTGCGTGGATGTGTGGTAGTAGACCATTTTCTTCTTTTTCCTTATGCATAACAACTGCAACAAGAAAGAAAAAATTATTAATTAAAACAGTAAATTTACAGGAAAAATAGATTTTCAATAAATATTTTCAAATTTATATATATAGTATACATAAATAGTATTCTAGATACAGTAGCGTATTTGTAAGGTTTGAAGAAGTTGAATTATTATTAGTAATGTAATATATTTTATACAGTCTAAATGACTGCCTAAGATATATAATTAAGTTTAAATCAAGTATATACTATTCTAACAATTTTGCAATTCTGAGCTTTTCAAATAAAGAATATTCAAGATGCCATTTCCAAAAGAAAATAATTTAATAGATAAAATTCATTTATTGTAGTAGCTATTAAAATGGCAGGGATAGTTTTATCTGTGCTGGCATTTGTTTTATCTGAGTATCACATTTTTAGTCTATTGCTGTTGTATTTCTGCAGTTTTCCAACCTATAGGTTTTCGGGAAGAATGTTTTTGCGGTATTTTATTTGATAGACACAATCTTAACAAAAGTGAGCGGCAATATTGTAAGACTGTTCGAAAAGTTGGTGTTGTATTGTCTGAGTGGAGATAAACTCTACAATTCTTTTGGTAAAAATTTTGTTTATGAATATTAAATATTATTTAGATAGTAATTATAAAGTTAGTTAGGATTATGTCTACTTAAAAACTTCTGAGCCAAAAAGGATTTCTATATATTTTCATAAACCATATAATTCTTCTACTCAATTGAATTAGATCTTAAAATATTGAGCAAGAAGAAATAATATTTTCCGCATTATTCTGCATTCCGGATGTCATCACGTTTAAAATGGAAAAACTATATGTTACCATAAAAAAAAAGTCAATTAATTAATTAATTCAAATTATTATTAATTGAATAAAAGTTATTTGACTTTAATTTCTTTTTAATCTTCTCGTAATATCTGAAAATAAGTTCTATTCCTATTTTTGGAACAGATTTTACCAAAACCTTTTATTCTTCTTTGTTTAAATTCATAAATCATAATTAACTGTATACAATTAAATGAATTAAGGTGCAGAGTTGTCAAGTTATATTACACCTATTCAATTGTCAAAAATTATTTTGTTGTTCTTTTTTGATCTTGTTTTTAAATAGAGAAAGTATTTCTTGTAATTATTTCAGTAGAATTTTGAAGCAGCCACAAGGGCGAATATGGACGAACTACTGCCATAACTATTTGGTCATAACAGGGCATCGGTTATCAGGTTTCGGCGTGGCGCAATATTTTATTTCAAGCGCTTCTGCTGCTTGCGCGCCTCTTTCACTCTTGTATATCAGCGCAGTTAGACATCTCTCAATTTGTTCACTCTATTGGCGAGTGAACGGCTTTTTCCTTCAAATGCAGTTTTAAAACCCTTTTTGGCTGAAAAATCATCACTCACTTTTATGACAGGACATGTTCAATGGCAAGCCAGTGAACCCGTTTAATGTTATTTCGCTGAATGTTGACAATACATCGTCATAAAGTTCGTTTATGTCGTGGTTCATTCGGATAGGGTAGCGGTAGAGGGCCAATTTGTAGAGGACTAAAGATCTTAGGAAGAACTTTTGTTTTAAACACTTCCAGTACTGCTTCATTATTCTATGGCAGCGTTCATACTTCTTCACAAACAAAATGGTGGAGCGATTAGGTCGGAAGATACAATGATATGAACTAAACAGGTAGCTTCAACTATAATTACAGTGTGGTTGAAAGGATCTCGTTCGGGTCAGGTATTAAGCTGATCCCCCTATTATTGTCACCGGTCATCGAGTCACCTATTCCCAGAATGGGGCATTTTATAATTAAAGTGGAGACGTTCGGAAAGATATCAGTATAGGCTTTATAGACGAAAAGAATATATACGAGTTTTCTCAGTTAATGCTAAGAATAAACTGCATGTGCGAATATTGTAAAAAAAGTAAGAAATATGAATATTTCGACAAGGACCCATTTTATTACCAATGTGTTTTGAAATAAATTTGGTGTACTTATTTTAAGGAAAGCTAACCTTAATTTCAATTTGCGTTCAAGTAAATGGGGAACTAATAAACATTATAATATTTGCTGACGATAGTACTATATAGTTTTAGAAAATTATAATTATAAAAATAGCTCCAGAAAAATAAATTTGCGACTGCAACAATTTTCAAATGCAACAATTTTCCCAACATCGTAATATGGAGCAGAAATTTGAAAAGTGAAAAAGAAAGCTGAAAACAGATAGGTTTAATAGGTTGGGATTAATTTTTACGGTAAGTACTAAAAATATCTTAACATCCTATAAGAAACATATATGGGCTTTTAATAATAAGGTTATGATAGCCCGTTGTACTTAATTTCTACTTCTTGTGCACTCTAAGTAACATATGCAAACTGGAGAGAAATATAGCAATCAATCTGACATATCTTTAGATTACGACTAACGATGAGGAAGCTTGAGCGGAATTATTACGACATATTCCATTTAAGGTTCCATCGCTATTCGTAGCGTCTGTACATCAACACGATGCGGCTACTTGTAACAAATGATATAAATAAATAATCATCCATCACTCACCGACTTCACCTCACCTCCCACCCCTCAAACAGTAATCAAATTTATTCAATAAATCCTTTGGAAATGACGCATACGTGGGCATCAGGCAAAGTTAGAAAACTTTTAATTATAAAATATTGTAAAAATGCATATATCGGAAATACTCTTGCGTAGTGTGACATAGGTATGGTTGAAATAATAGTGCAAGTCATAATTGAAAAAAGAGTGGATTGGACAGGTCTAAGAAGTTGTGCGAAATCGCAATAGTATTACTATTGCAGTGATCAGTTCAAATATTATATAAAAATTAATTATTTTTAATAAAATAAAATATGTTTTTTTATTTAATTGATATCCTATAAAGAAGCAGATAAAATTTTATGACAACCAAAAATAAACGTTTTATTTGTTGTTGCAATAAAAATACAATCGGCGATTCGCTATGGCAACTGTGTAAATCAATTACAACATAAGTAAATTTTATTTTATAATAAATTTTATAGCGTTACCACATTTTTATTAAGTATTTTATATACATACATATATTGACACAATATGTCATTTTTTGCGTCAATTGCAGAACCACAAAATTTATTTAATTATTTTTTTGATATATTAAAAATTTTGGAAAATTACCAACACACACACACAGAGTTAATAGAAAAATTAACTTTTAACATAAGTAAGTAATTTATTTCTCTTTTTATAAATATGTTTTAGTATTTTGATACATTTATAAAAAAAATTGATTTATGTCTACGATGGATGATAAAAAAACCGAGTTTTGTATATAACCAAAATATAATAAATTTTTATTGTATATTTATATCGTAACACTTTTGTGGATCAAGCTACAACCCCCAATGTTGGTAAAAAAAGTGAAAAACTTTGTCAAAATATTTGCTTTGACAACAACTTTTTATTGTGCCATAGAGCGGGTGATGCCATAAATTATGATTGCTATCTTACTCAGAAATATGCACATAACCTAGCTTATGACTATACTTAAACTATACAATACAATAAATGTGTGAATACTAAACATTTACTAATTTACGCATGAAGAACTAGGCAACATTTTCGGTTTAATAATTTTGAACTTTGGCGTAGAGTTTAACTTGGCGTAGAATTCAATAGCGCGCGGGGATAATAAAATACACAACCCCTAATACAGCTCACAGAGGACAAAAAGGGTATCGTACAGCATTCATTATTATTAACGACGTTAACAACGTCAAGTTTTACTTAAAACTTCAGTGTAAAAATCAAGTTACAGGTCAAAACCGCAACTGTAGGCAATTTTTTACTTCAATTATGGGCAATGACGGCCTCGCTATATATTTTTAATATTTTTTTCATAATTTCGTTAGTATATATAACAGTGAATTATGAGCCTTAAAGTAAAATATTAACTCAATTTTATGACCATTTTTAGTGTGCCGCATTACTTACAGTTTACGATCGTATTTTCATGTGAAAGTTTTGCACTGGAAATTAGTAAATTTCAACCTCTGAAACTCAGCACCCGCTCACACCTCATTGCCTATACCTAGTATTGTCACATTTTCATTTCAATTAGCAAATAAAAAGTTACTAGTATTTCATTAGAATATATTTGTGTGTTTGTATATTTAAAAGCAAAAGGACATTTTTTTCAACCAATGTTGCCGTTTTTCTAATCTCAGATGTTGTTAGTTTTTATCAAATTAACAAAATGCGGTAATATATATATTTTTTTCTATTTTTTGTATTTTTTGAATTTTTTTTGGAAAGTGCGATAAAACAGAGTAGCAAGTAAGTTGGGCAAATGGCAATCAGCCCTAGACGCTGTCGCTTCCAAAAACAAATTGCATCACTCAAAAAATGTGCGTGTTGGAAACTCTGCTTTTTTTGTACAATTTTATTTTATATGTGATCCTTCAGTTCAAAGGCTACTATTGTACAATTAGTGGATTTAGCCCTTCACTCTGTCTCCAACACACGCAGTAACGTTTCTCAAGCATTGTTGCATGTAATTATTCATAATTTAATTAGGCTCAGTATACATTTTCATATAAACTTTCTTGCCATTTTTTTTGTTGTTTTTTTGTTTTTTTGGGCTACAAAATTAATTTTTTTTTTTGTGTTTGTTTTTTAAGTTTTAATTTCTTACTCTTTTACGTGCATAAACTCATTAAATTAATTTTTATTTAAGTGCGCTTTATTATTGTACTTAATCTATTTTTTTATTGTGGTTTTTTACTGTGTAGTATTAGTAATGTAACTACATTTCTGTTAATTTTGTCGTTATTACAAAATATACAAAATGTACAAATCTGTGTTGGAATTGAATTTTTAAAGTAGGCACTGAGCCTTTGTTCACTCTCTGACATAGTTGGAACTCTTACACATTTGGTTCGTGGGTGTGTTTTGTTATATTTAACATATTATATACATTTGCTGTTGTTATTTCAGAGTTTTTGTTATATTTG